TAAAAAGATTTTTTTAGAGCAGTTTTAGGTTCACAGAAAAATTAAGAGGAAGGTACAGACAGTTCCCATATGCTCGCTACTCCCACACATGAACAGCTGCCCCATTACTGACACCCCCCACCAGAGTGGTACATGCATTACAACTGCAGAACCTCAATCGACACATCATTATCACCCGAAGTCCACAGTTTACATTAGAGCTCACTCCTGGTGTTGTACAGTCTGTGGGTTTAGATATATGCATAATGACATATACCCATCATCACAGTATCATACAAAGTATTCTCACTGCCCTAAAAATCCTCTGTGCTCTACCTATTCATCCTTTCCCCCACCCCCAATCCTTAGCAACCACTGATCTTTTTACTCCCTCTGTAATTTTCTTTTCCAGAGTGTCGTATAGTTGGGATCGTAGTCTTAGCCTTTTCAGACTCGCTTCTTTCACTTAGCAATATGCAGCTAAGACCCCTTCATGTCTTTTCATGGGTTGACAGCTCATTTATTTTTAGCTCTGAATAACAGCATTCTATTGTCTGGCTGTATCAAAGTTTATTTATCCATTCACCTACTGAAGAACATCTTGCAAGTTGCTTGCAAGTTTTGGCAATAATGAATAAAGCTGCTATAAACACCATGTGCAAGTTTTTACCTGGACGTTAGTTTTCAACTCCTTTGGGTAAAACACCAGAGAGTGTGATTGCTGGATTGTATGGTAAGAGAATGTTAGTTTTTCTAAGAAACTCCCAAATGGTCTTCCTGAGGGGCTGAACCACTGTGCATTCCACCAGCAACGAATGAGAGTTCCCACTGCTCCACATCCTCTTCAGCAGTTGGTGTTGTCAGTGGCCACTCTAACAGGTGTGGAGTGGCATCTCATTGTTTTAATTTGCATAATAGATGGCACTTTGAGACAGGCTTCAACTGTGGTACAAACTAAACAGATTTGGATAGGGATATTACAGAAGACTGCAAAGTCACTCAAGTTTACCTGTTTATCAAGGGCATATGTAAATGAGTCTTGGGAAACTTGGCTTCAAAAAGAGCTTAGGGCCGGCCCGGTGGCGCACTCAGTAGAGTGCGGCACTTGGGAGCGCAGTGGCGCTCCCACCG